CATGATGAGACGCCTTCAATAATTACCCCCTTATTAAACAAGGGGTAATTATGGGGGCAGTTGAGGAGGCCCGAAGTGACATGGGCCGGATATGACCCGCAAACGCGACATCCGGTCCGTACAGATGGGTCAAGCCCATAGAAAGACACTGCCATATGGACCGAACGCGAATGGCCCATCAAAGATGACCAAAACTCACAGAGGAACGGGCCTAGATCTAGCAATCCATTAATATTTGTAAGTATCTATAAATAGGAGAAGTAATGGATAGAGCTGGGAGAGATATTTTTGGTTGAAATGTAAGAATTCTAGAGAGAGAAAGAAAGGACGAATTTCTTGCATCTTCATGCATAAACTTTAAGTAGTATTAGAAAAAAAATTATCAAATTGCCCTTATTCGTGACCGACCCATTAACTTGGTTGTGAAATGACAAAATTGACCTTATTTTTAATGTTAAATTAAAATATTAATAATAATTTTTAAATTGTTTTTGTAATTTTAAAATAGTTTTTTTTAAAATTTAATATTAAATAATAAATTTGTTATTTTAAATAATTTAGTAATTTAACATTATTTAATGGTCCTTTATTATTTTTTTAATTTTAAAATAATAATTTTTAGTATTTTAATTTAACATTGATTAATAAAATTAATTTTGTCATTTAACAACCAAGTTAATGGGTCCGGTACTAGGGCTGCACAAAAAACAGTGGAACCGGAGAACCAAACCAAACTAAACCAGCGGTTTGATTCCGGTTGGTACCGGTCCCGATTCCAAAATTTTGGAACCATTGAGTTTTGGTTCAGTTCGGTTTTGGTTTCAAACCTTTTGGGACCGAACCGAATCGATTATACATTGTGTATATAATATACATTATTTTTAAATTATACAATATTATGATAATATATATTATAATTCCTTGGATCAAATATAGAGTGATATGATGCATTCTGAATTTTCAGCTTTTTCTAATGTATTATTATTTCAATGTTTACATAAAAAAAATAATAATAATAATAAAAACAAAAAACAAAAAAAAAAAACCACTAGTGATCATTACTTCATTAACCCATGATGTTTGGTTCTTGTAACAACAGTTTATAATGTTAATTAAAGTGAGTTAAACATACTAATTGACGGAATGAATGTGATTTTCAGTAAGTATTTATGCATTAATTTAAATAACATATCAAAATTATATATATATATATATATATATATATATATATATATATATAAATTTAAATAACATATCAAAATTTTATATATATATATATATATACATATTTGAAAAGTAAACAAATTATTTTTCAAAATTTTATAATGGGAACCGAATCGGACCGGTTTTCACGGTTCAATTCCATATCCCAACGGTTCCGGTTCTAATTTTTTAGGAACCATTGGAAACGGTTCAATTCTAGTTCCATTAAGAACTGTATCAAATCTGACCGTGTACACCCGTATTGGTTACGAATATGGGGGCAATTTGATAACTTTTTTTTTTTTTTAACTTCTAAGGAGTTTTTAAATTAAACTGAAGATTTTATTCATAATTTTGAAAGTACATAGAGGTTTTGTGGTTATTATACTGCAATTTAAGACTGATATAGATGCATCACATATCAAAAAACCAAATTGAACAGTGGGGGTTACATATGTTGTCCAATAATGAATCACAACATTAAAATAAATAAATAATAAGTCGATCATGAAGGATAGCTGCCTTTCAGCAAACAATCCCTGCTAACATTTCCAGAACTTGTTGGTTGAAAATAAAGTTCAACAAGAAGCCATTGTCGAGCGCTAGGGGCCCCAATTGATGCGTGCAACAGGATGATACAGATTACATATATAATAGCTAAGTTTAGTTTGCAGCGTCTGTCATATTCAATCCAATGCAAGCAGAATAATATAACTCGCTGCAAGCTAAAGTCCTTCCCTTAGTTTCCATGATGGAAGATTAATCTGAAGTCATTAGTCTCATCCTTGAAGGGGGTGAAGACACCCTCCATAATCTTTAAAAAAAATAATTCTATTTCACAAAAGGCTTACATAACAAAGAACAAAATTGTAAGTTTTGTGACAAACAAATGTAGTAGGAATCTTTTATCGACCCTCTAGAAATGTAACAGTCACCTTGTTTGTGGTACATTGTCTTTCTGCCGGTGTATGTTCTATGTCGTCAAGACTTCTCTCTGTATAAAAACCAGGTTGTTTTGGTTGGGGGCCTTGAGGCAACAATGCAGTCTCACTGTCAACATTGACAGCACTGATGACATTGTTGCACACAAAAAAGTCCAACTTGTATGCACCTTAATGCAAAAGATGTTGGAAATGGATTCTCCATCGGGGATCTATTAGCTCAAAAGCTTTTCCTTCTGTCCATAGTTTCCATGCCTGAAAAAGCGCACACACAATACATATACTTGTTTAAAAGATTGAGAAGTCATACTAAAATCAGACTAAAAGCTTCTTTGTTTTTGGTATGCCTGAAAAAGCGCGCACACAGATGTTGGAAATGGATTCTCCATGGGGGATCTATTAGCTCAAAAGCTTTTATTTTTATTTTTTTTCCATTTAAAAGATTGAGAAGTCATACTAAAATCAAGGTCTGCAATTCTCGTTTAAATTTTTTTTGGGCTAAATCAATTAATCTATCGAAATAAATTTTTTTTTTTTTGCCTAAATCTATTTGAAATCAAGGTCTATAATTCTTGTTTTAATTTTTTTTTTTTTTTTGGCTAAATCAATTAGTCTATCGAACCAAAATTTTTTTTTTTTTTTTTGGCTAAATCTATTTGAAATCAAGGTCTGTAATTCTTGTTTTAATATTTTTTTTTGGCTAAATCTCTATCGAAATAAATTTTTTTTGGCTAAATCTGTTTTAATTTATGATCTTTTTATATACTTTTTATTTTATTTTATGAATTTTAGTTATAAATATTTGTGAAGATAATGACTGAAATAGGATTTGCAAACAACTGATAATAAAATTGAAGGTTATTGCAAAAAAAATTTAGGCCTTTTATATGAAAAAATATTGACAATATTTGAATTATTAAAATGTGATTTTTAGACATATTTGTAAATAAATTATAAAATTTAATGATATAAATTTATTATTTCATAAAATGCAACATTGTAACAGTTAGAGTGACCAAACATGTTTTGCATGTTTTTGTTTCTGACATTTTCACAGCAAAATATAATTCCCAAACGTGCTTCCAAATTTTTTTCAAAACACTCTTACAACAAAAACACTAATTTTGTTTTAGCCAGAAACAAAACACTAAAAACAAAGCGCATGCCAAATAGGCTCTTAAGCTTCCGTTGGACATATACTCATAGATTAACATTTTTTCCTCTCCTTGAATGCAACATCCCAAAAGCCTAACCAAGTTTCGATGCTGAAGTTTGGCAATCAATATAACCTCATTTTTGAACTCACTGATTCCTTGTTTGGAATTTTGGAAGAGCTTCTTAACTGCTATCTCTTGTATAGTTGATAGCTGACCCTACAGTAATTAAAACAAGATTAGTCCAATTTGTCATGGCAAAGATTGACCTACAATCAGACAATATTTATGTTCACCCTAATGACTTATCGAATTTACCTTGTAAACAGGTCCAAAACTACCATCTCCAATCTTATTTGAAGGAGAAAAGTTGTTAGTAGCTTCTGCAATGGTGTCCATATCGAAAATAGGTAGTTCTAAATTTTCCTCAACAACTTTTGGTCGTCTACCTACTAATCACAACATAAGTCAAATTTAGGAGGCACATATAAATAATTTTTTTTGGTAAAATGAGTGGCTTAAACTTCGTTAGCCTTCACCAACCCCCATTCTGTTTAAATAACTTGTTTAATCATTAAAAAAGTAAAAAGAAAAAAAATAGGGGGGGGGCATCTTTTTTCCTCTGTTCAGTGTAAATAAAACCATTCAAATATTTTCTTTGAGATACTTCAACATTACCAATCCAATTGTAAGTCTAAAGAAGAACAATTCGGAAGCAAGAATTCCATTTCAGGCAACATGTTTTCCAAAAGTGGTTGTCCTCATTTGTATTGCTTTGAAACTAGGGAAATTCCCGCTCAGTTTCGCATGTTTGAAAACACATGATTCTACGTTAACATTGTAATAACTTGTTACCGAATCATGGGATGAAGTCTTATTTCTTAGTTGGCTGGTTTCGTTATATTTTTGTTGAAATGGGTGATTTATTTATTTATTTTTTTTTTCATAATTTGAAATGGGTGATTGGTTGAAGCAGTAACAATCAAAGAATATTACCTCGTCTTTTTCTCTTCAGTGTGATATAGGAGGCTAATACAAGCAACACTAATGCTACTGACACTGAGACTATCACCAATTCCAGCTTCTTTTTCTTTTTGGAATTTGATATGGACTCTGCCAACACAATCAATCCAGTTCAAAATAGCAGTTTCAAAAACCAAATTTTTAATCAAAACCAGATTCTGCGAATCTTTTGATATCAACAAGATCTCCATACCAGAGCAAGCAACCACTCTCTCTTCCATTAGCATGCACACTTGCATAAGCTGTACAAGAACAATTCTTCAAGCACTCTGCTTCACATTCCTTAAGGGTCATGCTGGTGTTCATCCAAAACTGCAGCAAATCAGGAACTGCCACATCTTTGATCTCTACAAATCCTTCTCCCTCGGGACAATTTAATGAGTTCCTGGTAACACACCCATCCGATGAAACAAGTATGTTCCAATCTTGTGATGATTTAAGCTTGTATCCAGCCAAACAGCTGCATCTTCTAGGCTCATTGATTGTGCAAATAGTATTGGAGCCACATTGGTTATAATTTTGGCATGCATCATTGGGATCTGTATACATGACAACCCACTGGAGGCTCTTATTGTTCCAAACAACACGCTCAAGTACGCCAAAGTAATGCAACACTAACATTGTTAACTCGTCATAGAGATCATATTTGTAGTACACCTCTTCCGAATTAGAGATGAAGTTAGTCGAAGACGGGGTTGGATTTGACTCTAGCTCCACCAAATTGTTGTCCATTCCAAGGCCCACTGCGAAACTTTTTCATAGAATTCTTGTAAAGGACTCCTTGTGGAAGTCCATGAAGATCAATACCAAAAGAGAATTCTCCTGGAGAAGGATCATCTGTGCTCTTCCACGATGTTAGATACCGATTTAAACCCATTCTCAAGTCACATCCTAGCTTCATTCCCGCTAACATTGTATCAGAAGGATGGTCAAAGCTTTGCCAAAGATAGCTTTCCGTGTTCCCAACGCTCTCATTTCCAGAGTCCAAGAGCTGCGCAAAAGTAGTTTTTGATGACAAGGGTTCTGGGATTTTAGTAGACCATATGACACTTCCTGTATGATCGTCCAGGAGGATCAAATTTCCATCATCCCCAATCTTGAGCACACCCGATGAATCATTGAGCAGCGGATGATTTCTGTTGGCCACCCAGACAACAGTTTGAGTAGGAATATTGTTGTACCATATTCCCCAAGTATCGGTTCTTAGAATCACCCAGACTGAAGAAGTCTCGCCGGAATTTTTCTCCATCAGATACTAATGTCCTGCTGTCGTTGACTGATTGGTACAAAGTTATAGTATGTTCTGCTACCAAGATTTCTGTACGACAGAGAACTGAGAACATTATACAACATGCAGCAGCAATAGCGTGAAAATGAATTTCCATTGGAAATGGACAACGTGAAACTCAATAATTGGGCATGAAAGTGCTAACAGAGATAATTAATTATAAGCCACTACATGCATATGTAAAGCTTAGTATTTTCCAGTCTCAATTATTTAGTTGCTATTTAGTCAACGGTAATTTAGGCCTTGAACATTTCCATTATGGCTGCTCTATGCATGCATATGGAATATTATGGGTCAATGGTCCACAAGTCACTAATTGAAGCCGTTGATGATCGACTTTGAACTATGTAATATGATATCATGTAGAAGAGGGTGTTGGATCGCTGTGGGACGGTGCCACGTCATCAACTCACATTTATTTTGGATTACTTATGTGTTGCCGGGTGCGTTGTTGAATAACAAGGCTTTAGCCAAAAGAATCAAAATGCCATTCTTGTCCCCAGAAGCTGTGGAATTAATTAATGCATGCCTATAAGAAGTTGAGTTTATACTTATAAGATACGTGGACGTAACGCAACCGGCAACAATGGCTGTATGAGTGGTAAAAGTTAACACGGCTCAGCCAACACGACACGAATTAAATGAATTTGAATTAATTTCAAATAAATTCGGGTCATAAATAGGTTGACACGATTAACCCATTTAGTTAATCGTGTCGTATTTGAGTTGAGCGGTTCAACACGTATAGCCCATTTGTACAAATTTAACTATATATGTCGTAAATAAATTTTTATTTAAGTTCTAAAACTATTTAGTAATTTGGTATATTAAAACTTATATATTTTTTAGTATTTATTATTTTATTGAGTATTATTAATAATTTAAATAATATATATATATATATATATATATATATATATATATATATTTTGTAAATAGGTCAACGGGTTACACGTGTAACCCGTTTAATAAACAGGTCGTGTTAGTGTTGAGAGTTCTTGACACGATTATTAAACAGATCGTGTTCGGGTTGAACAGTTTAGTATAATATCCTTAAGTTAACACGACACAATTACGACTCACAAACACAAATTGCCACCCTAAATGGATGACACTCCTTGCAATTACTCAACCAAAATACTACTGTAAGAGGTAGGCACACACATGAACCAATTCTAAAAGTTATCCTAATGCAATTCTACTTCACTTAGAATCAAAACAACAATGGATCACCCTAAAATAATTCTTCCAGGAAGGAAGCTAGCTCTAGTTTCTCAAATGAACTTTGGACGGGTAAAAATAAGGGTTAAGTGCAAAAAAAAAACCCCTCTACTATTGATATTGTGACGGTCCAAGTTTTTCAACCCGGTGCGTTAATGATGAACCGAAAGTTAACCCGGTAACGGATTCGAAATGCGGAAGCAAAAGATGAAACCAAGGTCTTTAGAGATATAAACCACCTTTAAGACACCAATGTGACCTTCCATGAAGCCACGAAGCTCAAAGAGGACGAAAGTGGAAACAAATGTCAAAACGGCCAAAAACCGTGAACCAAGGGGCAAAATGGTCAACTCACAATTAAAAGGAGAAATTTGACTCTAAACAAGTCAAAAAAAGTGAAAACAACCTAATTTATTCATTTCACAACATTCCAAGATGTTCTAAGAACATTGGACAAGAATCCCACAAAATGCCCTTTCCTGGTTTAAGCAAAAACTGACACCCTCTCACTAAAACATGAATAACTCCCACTGTGATTGGAATCTGAGAATGGCATTGGTACCATTGGAAATCTGACTCAAAATACATGAATTTAGGCTCAAGAATCACCCCATTTGGATTTAAAATGAAGGAGTTATAACCATTTGAATTCGGAAGAACAATGCTGAAACTGAACTGAAGTTGTGCTCGGGATCTACCTATTTCGGTCAGCCGAAATAAGCCATCGGACGACCGAAATGAACAAAATTTATGCTGAAAACATGTTTTTGAGGTATGGTTACTTTGGTAGACCGAAATGAACCATCAGTCAACTGAAATAAGCCATCGGTCGACCGAAATGGCCTTGAACAGTAGAAATGGCTACTGGAAATGAGTTTCTATTGTGCCTTGATGATTCCAAATGACATCAGTCGACCGAAATGAAGTTTCGAACGACCGAAACACCACAAAAACCTGCTATAAGACCTGTTATAATCAAGAATTATTGAGACTTCACCCAAGTCTCCAACCCCAACATGAATATGAACCAAAAACATGTTTTTAAGCTATATAAGCATGCTCGCAAGTGTACTTTACATATTGAAATGTATTACAATGGCCCATGGCCTCATTACATGATGTTTACAAAACTTGACATGCCAAACCTCAAGGTTAGAAAAGAATACATTTCAAAACAAAACTTGAAATTTAAGTACATACACTTGAAATTTAAAGTCTATGGCCCTTGGCCTCATGTCATACATATCAAATACATTGAAAGGAGTGTACTCATGTACACTTTACATGATTAGAATCAAATATACATGTTTTTGACATATAAATCTACAAAGGCATTTCAAGCCAATCTTCACAAAAATAGAAATTTTCAAGTCCACAAGTCATCCAAGCATAATGAGAGTCTCAACTTTAATTCTTGTACCTAAAAAATGTCCCCACTACATGGGTGAGTAACATAAAGCTACTTGTAGGAAATGAGCATGCATCGACCTACGTTTTACAATTTTATCACTTTAAGGTGAAACATGTAAAAGGGGCTCATGCCACCTAACGTCTATGTCAAGATGAGACTCAGGGAGCATCCTAAGCTACCCTAGATCATTTTTAAACCACATTTGAACATATAAGGCATAATGTACTTAACAACATCAAAGTTCACAATGATTCACTAAAATTATAAAACATAGATGTACTTAACAATATCAAAATGATTCATTAAAATCATAAATATAGATGTACTTAATAACATCAAAATGATTCATTAATATCATAAACATGGATGTACTTAACAACATCAAAATCGCCAATAGGTACTTAACAACATCAAAATCGCCAATAGCCAAAACCACAAGTCACAATATAAACATGATTGTTAACTTGGAATTGAATGCGAAAACAAATAATGGAAGACTTGGACATCTAAGCTCGGAATTCTACCGAGACCTCAACGGTTATTCCGAGCACTAACCCGTAGGGAAGACCACCCTAAGTGCGCACTATCTCAATTGGGGAGAACTTATACCTCCCGCAATAGAGCCAAACTCTAGCCATGTCATATGTAACAACAATGTTCCTAGAGATCCAAAATATACCAAATAAGTTCACAACTTATACTTCATTTATATAATGCATGAAATCACCTTCCATGCACAAGTAGGTTGAAACCACACAATCCATATTTTAAGATTCAAATTCTAAAATGGTATACATAATGTCAACACAAAGTGTACAATTCATTACACAAGTCAATTATATATTCAATATTGGAAACAAGTTCTCATGAATATAAATTTAACAACAATGCTCTTCAATGGTTAAAACATAATCAAGTGAATACTCAACAAGTCCAAATCCATGATCTCAACATAGAAGCAACTTCTAAAACATAATTAAATTCATAGATAAACAAGATAGAATTTAATTAAATCAAAATAATTAAACTCTCTAGATTTCACATCATTTCCAAATAGCCTCAATTTAATATATGTTAAAAGACAAATCATGGTCATTATATATATGCATTCAAAAGCTTAATTAGGTCAATGAAACCACAAAATATATTTTAATTAATTCATTTAATTAAAGTCTCTTGAATTTCAAACTCAACCAAATGCTCTCAATTTAAAATATGTTAAAGAACATGCCAAGACTTAATTTAAAAGTATAACACAAGTTCATTTCATGTAAAGTATGGCCATGGGAATTAATCTTTCACAAAGAAAAATATTAAATAAAAGATGCAACTTTTATTCAAATAATCCCAATTAAATATATGTTAACAAACATATTAAAACTAAGCTTTCTAGCATGCCACAATTCAAATCCAAGTTATACATCATCATGAAAATTTAATCTTATACTAACTTTTTAGATTTGATACAAGGCATACATATAAGTTGTATAATCATGGGAAACACATAATACAACACTCAATTAATCCTAAAACATTCCCTACCTTCATTTGAGATGAAATCTCAAATCCCCACCAAAATGAATGCGCTCCAAATCCGACGAAACTTCTAGGTTTTGTCGGGTACAACACCGTGAACATAACCCCCAAGGAAGCCCCATCAAATTCACAACTTGAATCCAAACTCGAACTCAAGAAATGGCCAAAACTGAATTCTAATAAGGGGGAATGGTAGAGCATGTCAAGGGGAACAATAAATGTGAAGGCCGAAGACTTTTCATCAAGGAAAAGTGGACCAAAAGAGGAGAGAGAAGATGGCAACCATGGATTCCGACCAGAAGAGAGGAGATAGAAAGAAAACTCAGATATTTTCTTGTCTCACACCCTATTTATAGAAAAACCCTAAAGTGCCCCGAATGGGCCCCGCCGGGTCCGGAAAAGTCAAATTCACGCAGACACGCTCAAACGGCAAAACTCCGTGAACAAAAAAGATTTATAATGAGAAAATATGAATAACGGAAGAAACGGCGTCGAAAATCGAGTCCTGAGCAGAAAGTTATGCCCCAAACAAGTTTAGCGCTAACTAGGGCCAGAAACCCTGAAACTGGAAAACATCGACCAGAAGGGAATTTTAAGAATACACGACTCGACAAAAAGTGAAAATGAATCCCGTACGAGGATCCAGACTCAAAATAAGGCATTTAGCAATAACTTTCATTAATTGCACAATGGCTTCTCCAAAAAGTGAAAACTGCGAAACTGCCCCAGAATGAAAATATCTTCCAAAAGATATTTTCTTAGATACACCTGAAATAAAATATCTTCAAAAGAT